TATATATATATAAATATAAATATATATATACCACCCATGGATAATTTGAGATGCCAATATCCTTTTTTTGAGAGTGGCAGGCTGTGGGAGCGCGCTGTTTCATAAGTTTTGATCATCACACATAAAAAAGGGAGGGGGGTGTTGTGAGCGCATTTATTTTTTGCATTTTTGACATTTCATTTCTGCAAAAGATACCAAACCCTGTTCTTTCCAAAACCAAACATTGTTGCTTTTGTAACAAAAGCAACCACTGTGCATTCTCAACAGCTCTCCCAATGTCGTACATAGATACATAGTTTCAGCCAAAACAAGCATGAATAATAAATACACACAACAAAACAAACAAGTGCAAATGCCTTTCCAAAGAGTGCAGCATTAGCTTTAAAAAAGTATAGACTCTACATCTCTACAGGAGTTTCCCTCAACATATAGTTCTTTTGGACATGTGCATTCTAAACAGGGACCAATTTATGCAATGTGTTCTCTATAAACAATGAAGGAACAATAAATTTTCAAACTGCACTTGTAAAATGATTTTGCATACATAAAATCATTCTCAATGTAACAACCCTTTGCAAAAAGTGTGGCACTGTTTGAACGATTAGTAGCATTTTAAAAAAATGTGCATTTTAAACACGCACCAATTTATACAATATGTTCTCTATAAATAATGAAGGAAAATAAACATGCAAACATCACTTGTAAAATGACTTTGCATAAAGAACACCATTCCTCAATGTATGCAGCAACCTTTTGCAAACATAGATGTGTAGCATTACTTCCCAATGTCAAGGAGAACCCGCCTATGTATATACTGAATGATTTCAGAGATCATAGCATTCCTGTAGGAAAATGTAGAATGCTGTTTTGCAAGATTGAATCTTTTCTTGAATTACTACAGCATGGTCTGGTTTTGGAAAGAGTGCCATCTTAGTGACACATTCATTGAAACCAGTGTTTTACCTTTGAAAGTGCAGATTCTTGTTTGCAAAGGGTGCAACATTATTGTAAGGAAGTGTAGCAAGAGCCTACTGTAGATTCCATTGATGATGCAAAAGCCTGTTGAAAAATATGTTTTTTTGTTGTAAAGCAAGTATTGCACCACTTTCTGCAATATGGCCTTTCAAAGAGTACAACTGTTCTATGGAAATGTTGTTTTGTTTTGAAAAGGGTGCTATGTGACTCAACTTTCAAAAGGTCTTCAAAATGTGCAATATCTTATCTTTGTAAACAAAGTAGAATATGGCTTCAAACAATGCAAAACAAATTGTAATTATAAATCCTAAATCTTAAAGCAAACTTATTCAAATATAATTATGGCAATGTAAACAAGTGCTACATGCCTATGCAAAGAGTGCAGTAGCACAAGTACCACAATATCTCTCTCAAACTAGTGCAGCATTTGCTCGGAAAAAAATGTCATATTACTGCAAACTGTGCAAAATCTGTGTCAATCAAGGAAAGCCTTCCTTTGAAGATGCACATATGTATGTATATATATATATACACCCTCCTCTGCGTTTCCCTTATGAAAAAGGAAGGGGTCGCCCCCATATAAATGGTTTATATATAGGCATTTTGTAGTTATAATGGTCCCCCTAACCAGGGCATTTTCTAACAGGGCACCCAAAAGGCAAAGTTGTAGATTTTCAAGTGTTCATTTTGTAAGAGTTTTGAGGTGCCAAGTCATTTTATAAGACCATTGAGTTTGTTTTTTTGAGGCTTTTTGTAAGCTCAAGATGCTGTTATTGAACATTAAAAAAAACAAAAAAAACTCAGCAGGGTGTGCAATGACATTTTTGTAAGGAGATGTCGTCAAGAGTAGAAGAACAATTTTATAAGAATTTATGCTTTTTAGGCATTGATACAAAGTATTGTTCAGATTTGTACATGTTTTTGATTCGCCTCAATTTGGCTATTTTCGAAAAGGCCCCAGCCTGCAGCCCTGACACATCCAAATGGCTGGTAGGCAATGAGGCCAAAGAAGCAAAAATACAAGAATATAAAACAACATAAAAGGTGGCAAAGAAAAGGAATCCTTTTAAAAAGGCTGCTTGAAAATCAACGAATCCGGGAAAACCAGAAACAGGGAACCAGAAGTTGTTTCCTTACAAAATGATGCCCGACAACGCTATCTGAAATCACAACTTCTTATAAAAAGGTCATCAAGTAGGATACGACATTCATATCATGAAGAAAGTTGTCACCTTATAGAATGCTATAGGTGTTTGAAGTCGAATGTGGGTGCTAAAAAACCTGTGCTTTTTGTAAGGGCCAAAATTCCCAAAAACCAACTCTTTTTATAGGGTTTTTGGAAGTCCCCTGGTTCATGGCTAGAAGAAGCCGGGTGCGACCCCTCCCCCCTAATTTGAAGGGGGATGTATGTATATATATATGTATGTATATGTAGTTTTAAAAGTGAATAGTTTCTTGGCAAATCTGTGTAGCATCCCTCCAAGAAAGTGTAACATGAGTCTACAGCAGATTCCATCGATGATGCAATAATGCTTGAGAAGATGGTCGTATTACTTCAGCAAAGTGTGCCACCAATTTGTGCAACATGTTTTTAAAAAAAAGTATAGCATGAAATTCAGGTTATTATCTAGGACATGGCCGAACATTTCAAAATTGGAACTCACAGTCTTGATCCTCAGAGCCAGTATGTTCATAGCTGCAGTGGTTAAACGATTGGTTCCTGCAAGCTTGAACGCATGAAGACAAGGAACGGCCAGTGTACAAACATGTGGGGGGGTCCGGGGGGGGGGCTTATCTTAAAGTATATATATATATGTATGATTATATATATATATGATATATATATATATATATCATATCAGATATATATATATATATATAATCATACATATATATATATATCATATATATATAATCATACATATATATATATATATCAGATATATATATATATAATCATACACATATGATATATATATATATCATATCATATATATATATGTGATATATATATATATATTTATCACATATATATATATCATATATATATATCATATATATATATGTAAATATATTATATATATATATATGTCATATATATGATATATATATATATATATCATATATATATGTGTATATATATATATATATATCACATATATATATATATCATATATATAAATATCATAGTATTGCTATAGATGGCGTATTTGCTTGGTCTCCTTTCTCGTCAGGTCCCCAGCGTCCAAGAGTTGATTGATTTGATGCGGCTGGCGCTGGATGAACCAGACAACGTGCTGAAACACATCTACGCCTTGGAGCAGAAGGCGAGCGTCGGGCACTGTGACCCACCTGATGGCTGTCAATGTACTGATAATTATGTGTATGTATATAGTATGTATATATATATACTTACTGGTGCTTAGTAGGGAATGGATGGGAATGGGGGAATTGGATTATTGTTGATAGTTATTGTGGATCATTCCCTCATTCCCTACTAAGCACATATATGTTCCCGGGACACGGAACCTGGAACATATATATAGATGTGTGTAGGGAATAGCTATGTTGAATTACCGGAGGGTGAACCTTCTGTTACTTCCCCAGGGTTCCCATGAAAGGGTCCATCTTGTCCACTGTGTCAACAGGGTCAACCATCGGGAGCAGCTTGAAGGAGTGAAATCCATGGCCGACTGACCATTTGCCATCAATTACCTTGCGGTAAACTAACATAGTTATTGAAAATCACAATTTTTAATAGGTAAACCATCTATAAATGGGCAATTTTCCATGGCTATGTTAAATAACCAGAGGATACCTTGCGGTAAACATCGGTAAACTAACATAGATGTGGAACAAAAGTCCCTGTTTGCCGTTCAGAAAATGATCTTTGCACATCATCTTTCCGTTTTTTGTTTACAGCAGCGCGTCAGCGTCATGGATTGTCACAAAGGACATCCCAGTAATGTTTGAGTCTGACATGGATATTACTGGATGACTCGACTCTACCCCAGTTTTGCTATGTTTTACTGACCATAAATCCTACCAGAAATCATGGATCAGTTGACCATACAGTATATGAATCCTGAGCCCACAATGAGACGATCCATTGAATCACTTGGGGGTGCAGTTCCAGTGAACAAAAAACGTGGATAGATGTTGCCACAGCACAAAAAGGGCCCCCTATTCTTGTCTAAGAGGGTCGAACCCTACGGTTCTACCCATGCAGAACATTTTAATAACATGTATATGATAACCATTATTAACAGTTATCAATAAACAAGTCTTAATATGTATTAATAATCATTATTAGCAACCATTAATGGTATCATTCACAATGCATTGTTACAACAATAATAATGATTATTATTAATAATATTAACACTAATAATAACAGTATACCACAGATCGAAAACTATCGTTCTAGGCTCACCCATCATTACTATTCTCCATGATTCATAGTTATAACATGTTATAACCACTTATTAACATCCAACAATAAACTATAGTTTTGAGAGTTTCCAGTCTAGTAAGGTTCTACAAATCAGGGTTTTGTTATTTTGTTCTGAAAAAAACTGAATTACCCGCTGGTTATTTAACATAGCTATGGAAAATGAAAAAAATATAGATGATGTACCTATTAAAATGGTGATTGTCCATGGCTATGTTAGTCATAACCAGATGGTAGCTATTGAAAATGGCCCAGTCGAAATAGTTGATTTACCCATTATAAATGGTGATTTTCCATACAAATTTCTCAAGAAAACTCCAGGTGAGCTGCGTTTGGCACGCGCACTTCTGGGATCGCCGGCGCTTGATGGTGGTCATCCAGGTGAATTCACCAGGGGCAGATGGCCTTTGACCATCAAAAAGGGATGGGTTTAACCAGGAAAGACGCTGATTTTACATGGTGATTTAATGTGAGTCGAACATGATGATACCATGATGATACTGAAAAAGTTGGCTTTTAAGATTTTATACCTGGTAGTTGAAAATCTAGGGTTTTATGGTATGTCACGATATATCGAACTAGTTCATGGGATGAACATCAACCAACTTCGTGATGTCAACCGAAGACGAAGCCCTGACTCTTGGGGGGTTTCCCAGTCAGCTTACCCTCAATTCTCGTTTCCGAGATTTATTGAGCAGTGTTCAAAACCTCTGTTGGTTGATGATTAGTTGGGGGATTATACTACCCAATATATTGGGGATAATAATGATCCAATAGGCGAATCCCGTTCTTAACCAACCAGTAGAATGGAATGAACAAAGGCAGAAAGCGGAGTGCGTTTGCAATGGCGGAGTGCGTTTTTGCCCTCATGGCTGTTCGCCGCCGACATCGCAGAGCTCCTGGCTGTTCGCCGACGGAGATTGCACCTGAGATTGAGATCGAGATTGCTGCGACCACTATTCATGAGCAAAATCGCAGCTAGAGGTTTAGCAAAATCCTGCATGAACATTACCTGGTTGGTGGTTTGGAACAGCCGTGAAGGTTCGAATCCTGTCAGGGGTACGGCCGCCCTTGCAGAACTTCGAGCTGTTGTGATCACCGTTGTTACTTTGCCATGGCTTTGACTTTTCCCATGGAATTTGGGCAGGTAGATAAGGGTCAAGATATCACTTTGGTGGCGGAGATGGTGTGCTTCGATCCCATGCATGATTCTCATCTGATGCGGGCTATTCACAAAGATGTTCTGTTTTATTACACTGGACTTTTGGATGCGGGGTTCTCCAAATATACCATTTGTGATGCCACTTTGGCGTATCAGTTTCCAATGCCTCGGGTGCTTGCTGGTGAACATACCAGAATTCTCACTCATGCTCAGCCAACATGGACGGATTACCGAAAACTCATTGATGTCTGCAGTGGATTTGGGGGCATGTGTCATGGCGCTGCAGCTTTGGGTATGAAAACGATGGTTTCAGCTGACTTCAATGGACTCATGACTGAACTTCATTTAAAACATGATGACAGTGCTGTTGTGGTAGGTGATGTTGGCCTGAATGATACCATTTGCAAAATCTGGTCTTGTTCTAATCGTGCCGCCGTGATGACAGCAGGATTTGCTTGTCAGCCGTATAGCCGCATGGGGGATCAGAAAGGGTCTTTAGATCCTAGGTCGGCTTCACTCACCAGTGTGCTCAGGTCTGCCTACTACCTGCAAATCAAGGTTTTGATCCTTGAATGTGTTTCCCCAGCACGTCAGGTTCCTTTTGTGCAGAAATCCATAGCTGAGTTTGTGCAACTGATGGGCTTTCGTCAGGAGGTTGTTGATCTCAGGCTTGACTCCATTTGGCCATGTCGCCGTGCTCGAACATGGTGGGTTTTGTCTGCGCCTGAACTTGGTCCCATAGGATTGACGGAGTGGCCGAAAATGTCAGATGTCGATCGTGTCCAGTGTCTTATCCCATACATATGTAGATGGCACCCCAAAGATGAGATGGCCTTGACTCTGGATGATGTTGAAAGTGAAGCTTTTGGCACTGCTGATGGGTCTTACGTCAAATATCTTCTCAAACCAGGGGATGTTGCTCCTTGTTTTCTGCATGCGTATGGGTCTCAACTGCGACCTTGTCCGTGTGGATGCCGCTTGTCACGTTTGTCTGCTCATCGTCTCGAAGAAAAGGGGTTAGTAGGATGTCTAGTCCATAATGCCACTGATGACAGCCTGCGTCATCTGCATCCAAGCGAAGTCCTTGTCCTATGTGGTATGGATCCTGTTTTGGACTTTGGTGAGAATGTCCGCTTGACTTTGTCTGCTATTGGGCAGATTGCCAGTCCTTTGCAGGTTGTCTGGGTCTTAGGCTTTGTCTCTGCCCGTATTGATGCCTTACGATATGGCCAATGCGACTTTTCCCCCCATGCCCAGTTGGTTGCCTTCAGATCATGGTTGGTGATGCGTGCGCAACAGGTGTGGCCATGCACTACGCCCACAATTGCTGATGTGAACCTTCAACAGCTGATTGATTTTTGGACTCCCCACAAGGATCTTTTCATTGGCCAACTTGTTGACACTGTGCGTTGTGCTGATGTCATTGACAAGGACATTTCCATTGCTGCCATTTTGGATGCAGTCATCCGACACACTCCGGTTCCTGAGCCTGGTGATGTCCTGATGTGTGATGAATGTGATGAACCTGAGACTCCATGGCTTGACTCAGTGTGCATCGACCAGTCGGCTGCACCTTGCATGGTTTGTGATCAGTGTGTCATCTCATTTAATTATTGATGGTGATGATGGGGTTGTGCCGGTCCAATTCACTTGTGGCGCCACCCTTCATGATTTCCTCACTGCGCATGCCAAACTGGTTGGTCCATTTGGTGTTGATCGGATTGTTGATGCACATGGGTCCGTGGTTGGGCTCGACTTGATTCTTGAAGTTGGACAATTTGTTTGTGTTCACCTGACGCAGTCTGACAAAGGCAGATGGTTTGGCAGTGCACTTCAGGAGACGCCTTTGATGAGTTGCAGCAGTGATGCAGGGGAATGTGGGCTACTCCCTTTAATGCCCTCGACATCTCTTGAGCCGCAGGGAAACCAAGCTGCTGTGCCTGGCATGGATGGTAAGTCCTTGTTGCGGTCCTCGGGTATGGAGCCTGACAGTCAGCGGGTGGTGTTGGTTGGTTGTCCACAGGAGATTCTTGATGCTGCACAAGGTGGGGTCCCTGCCTTTGATGCTCACAGTGACGGCAAATCGCTCCCTGATGTTGGCTCTGCTGATTGTCATAATTCTGCCTTGCCTGCTGTTGAGATCACACCAACTGTTCCTTGGACTCAGCCGTGTGTGCCTGTCCAGGTTGGGGTGCACCCATTTGATGTGCAGATTCAGACGGAGGGATTAGGTCCGACTTCACATGCCTGGGGATCTGCCACGGCCCTGTTAGGTCTTGAGCCTTCTCAGTTTTTGAAATTGCAACCACCGCATGTGATTGGTACAGACAAGCTGGCTGCCTTACGTCATCAGTTTCTGCATGTTGATGATCGTGTCAAGCTCTTGGATCGTCAGCAGGAATGTATGGCAGATGATGAACTTCGTTTTCATTTGAATGCCATCGTGACCAGTTATGCTCAGAGTCATGAAACTGGACGCATGTCGTACTCAGGTTGGCCGCTGGTACTTGATCCGCTGATCTCAGCCACTTGGATTGATGATAGAATGCCTGTTGCTGAATGGTGCAAAGCTCACCCAGAAGTCCTTCACAACCAACGCCAGGTGTTGGGCATCTTTAGGGTGTCCACACATTGGGTCCCAGTGCAGTTTGTTCCTGTTGGGCAACATGTGAATATTTTCACTTGGGATTCTCCGGATGTCTCACATGATGGTTTGAATGGGGTTTTAGAGCTCATGGCCAAGTCGTTTGGATTTGCGAAGTGTCTTGTCACCCGATATCAACGCCTCTTCTTTACCAGTGTCCATTGTGGGGCTTTGGCAATTCATTTCATTCAACATGTTGTGTTTGGCACACAATTGCCCACAAGCCCGCTTGAAGCAGCTACTGTGCATGCCCAACTCAGGGTGAAGTTTGTTGAGGGTCTTGGTCCGCACACGGTCCCACGTCCATGGGTTTGGGGAAATGGTGACAATGATGATGATCAAACTGAGCGCAATTGGCCCTCTGCAGAGCCTTCTCCCACCAACTTCTCTGACGTGCATGGTGACACTGGTGCCGCTAGCTCTGGTGTAGGTTCACGTATTGTCCCCGTTGCTGATGCAGGAGCTCATGAATGCATTTCCATTGATGACCGCATCATGCTGTTTGCTGCGCATGGAAGGGATATGGCAGACGATGAAATGAGATTTCACCTGCAAGTCCTGATTGACAAACGCAATGACAGACGGGTGAGGGAACGTTTGCTGCTTCCTGTGATGCTTCCCTTTGAGCCGTTAAATTTTTGGAACTGGGACGAGATTGGTCACATCATGACTGAAAGGTGGTGTCAAACCATTCCTGACTTTTGTTCTGCCAACATTCAGCTTGTCTCTGTCATGTGGATTGATGAACATTGGATTCCCCTTTGGTTTGTGCCTGGTGGAAGGGTGCTTGTGGTCCACACGTTCAATGATCCGCTTGATCGTGATATCGTTGAAGGGAAGTTACGATGGATGGGTCTTCACCTTGGTTTTGAGGATGTGGTGATTCATTATGTCCCTCATGGACTGCCTGAACATCGGTTGTGCGGAGCTCATGCACTTGCTTTCCTTGCTCATATCATGCTTGATGTGCCGTTGCCTGACACTGTCACTGAACTTGACTTCATGTGCACGAACATGCGTGCAGCTTTTGTGCAAGCTATGTATGAAAATCGAGTGTGCCGATGTCCCATTTTGTGGGGTGCTGGTGGTAATGGTGGGTTGATGAAAGCTTTGGCTGAAGAACTGATGAAGCATGGGGTGCCTGGTGATCAGGCTGAGACTCGCTCTGCCCAAGCCATTCGATCCATCGGAAGTGAACAGGTGATTCTTGCTTTGCAGCAGAAACAGCCCTGGCGCCAATTGAAAGCCCTTGCCACCAATGCGAGCTTCAAACTGGTCTTACCGTCGGAACTTGCCGCTGCAGTCTCTGAAAATGGATCAAAAGCAGTTGGGAAGCGTCAACAGAAGCAACGACCGCCTCCGGGTTTGCCGACACCCATTGAGCTTGATCCAAGCAAACTTCAGGTCCTTGAAGGCACGTTTCGAGTTGGGTCCACCGTCTTGCCGCAATTGACAGCTCAGCAGATAGGTCCGGTTAGCTCAGGGTTTGTTCTCATGAATGCACAGGATGCCGAACTGTATCTTAGCAGTGGTCAGATTGTGTCCCAAGAGCCTCTGGCGTTGGTTGTTTTTCAT